TGTCCATTAAGAATAGTGCGTGTTTTTGAATTAAAACGAAACAAAATGGTTGGTTATGAATAATGCGGTGCGAGTTGTGAGAGAAGTGTTTCTTCTGTCTTGTTTTAATGATGAACCACTAAATTTAATTTTTTTTATTTGTTGTTGTTATTATTGTTGTGGTGGTTATTATGTGCGATTGTTGCAATGATGCTTGACCACAATGTTGCAGCTCACCCGTTCTGTCGCTGTGTGTTGTTGCACGATTGTCGTTCGATTGCATAAACAATTGGTGGTGTTGCGCATCCATTCATTCGCAGTGATGACCACAATTCGCATTATTTCGCATTTTGACCACTATTCGATTTTATTTTTAAACAAACGTCGAAGAAAAATGCAGTTAAACTTGTTCGGAGAAAAATCATCAGCATCACCAACGACCATCGTTTAGTATTGCTCCACAATTGAAGATGTCGATGTCTATTTTTAAATAATTTAAAGCAATCGCCGAAGAGTTTGAATTTGGTGATGTTATCGCAACACTTGTACGCACTTCTTTATTGCCAAATTACGTTTGGAAGATCTTTGTTTTTTTGGTGAATGTAGTCTCAATGAAGATTTGAATGTTGGCAAAATTAAGTCGAGGAGAACTGCTGGCCGAAATTTTAATAAAGCCATTCACTTGAAAATGCGACAGTTGGGTGATTAGAAATACAAAAATGACATTGCAAAATAGTTTTATAGCCTCTAACCGAAGCTACTTCAGAACTTTTATGGAAAAGGGGGTTTCTATTGACTGGAGGTTTCAAAAGTTTTTTGCAACCTTTCGGAGACAGAAGATCTTTCAAGGTTTCTCTTTTGGCAAAAGACATCTCAGAGGTCAGCTATTAAAAAAACTTTAAAGGGCCTTCTAATGACAAGCTACTGTCCTATGAATATAATCACTTCCAGGATCCTCAAGAGACAGAAGATTTTTCCAATTTCTGCAACCTTTCCAGGGACAGAACACCTTTGAAGATTTCTCTATTGGCAGGAGAACTTTTAGAAGTCAACCATTGAAAAATATCTGTAAAAGCCTTTAAGATATTTTCTAGACATAAGCTATAACCCTCCGGCTTTCTTTGAGTGAAGGCTTTTTATTGAGTGGAGATTTCAAATTTCTAGACCTTTCCAGTGATAGAAGGCCTTTCAAGGTCGCTCTATTGGCAGGAGACCTCTGATATTGAAAAATATCTTTAGAGAGCATTTTACTAACAAGATACCTGCCAGGTGTCGTCTATGGACAGAATCACTTCCATGATCTTCAAGAGACATAATATTTTTTTAATTTCTACAAAAGACAGTATGCCTTTCGAAGATCTTTTTTCAGATATTTTCTATAACAAAGAGATCTATAGCCCTTCTATGAGCCTTTTACTGACAAGCTACCTTCCAGGTTTCCTCTATGGACAGAAGACTTTTCCAATTTCTCCAAAAGGGGAGATCATCTTTTTTCAGATATTTTCTAGACATAAAATGTAGTCCTCCGACCATCTATGGCTTTTTATCAAGTAGAAGTTTCAATTTTCTAGATCTTTCCATTGATAAAAGACCAGGATACCACTCAGAAGCCTGTTATTGAAAGAATATCTTTAAATAAACTTTTGCTGACAAGCTAACTTCCAGATGATCTCTATGGACAGATTTACTTTCAGTATCCTCAATTCCAATTTCTCCAAAAGACAGTATGCCTTCGAAGATCTTCTTTTTTCAGAAAATATCTGATTCATAGTCCTCCGACCTCGGAAAAGACCTTTTATTGAGTGTAGGTTTAAAAAACATTTTAGACTTTTCCAAGAATGTAAGACCTTTCAAGGTCCTTTTATTCTATAGGAGACCTCTCTGAAGCCTGTTATTGAAAAAATATGTTTAGAAAGCCTTTTACTGACAAGGTACCTTCCAGGTGTCCTCTATGAACAGAATCTCTTCCAGGATCCTCAAGAGAAAGAAGATTTTTCCAATTCTTTCTTTTCCAAATATTTTCTAGACATAAGCTATAGCCCTCCGACATTCTATGGGTAAAAGGGATTCTATTGAGTGGGAGTTTAAAAATTTCCATACCTTTCCAAGGATAGCAGACATTTCAAGGTCGCTTTTTTGGCGGGAGACTCCTTAGAGGTCTGCAATTGAAAAATATCTTTAAAAAAGATGTTCTCTATGGACAGAATAGCCAGAATTCTCCTAAAGAAGATTTTTTTGTTTTATTGTTAAAATATTTTACAAACATAAGCTTTAGTCCTCAGAACTTCTATGGGTAAAAGGCTTTAAATTTATGAGTGGTGGTTTCAAAAAATTTCTAGACCTTTCAAGGTCCTTCTTGAAGTCTGCTCTTGAAAAAAAAACATTTAAAAAGCCTTTACTGCCAAGCTATGTTTAAAATCACTTGCAGGATCCTCAAAAGACAGAAGTTCTTTTAATTTCTTTTATAGGCCGCACATCTTTCGAAGATCTTCTTTTTTCAGATATTTTCTAGACAGAGGACCCTTTGAAAGATGTTAGCAAAATACTATTAACCCATTTCGTTTCGAGATTTAATTTTTATTTTTGGGTTTGAAAAAAATTTACTTTTTTTTAAGGAAGGGGGATTTTTTAATCACTAACAGATGACCCTTACTACCTACAAAAAAATTATGTAAAATTTTACCATTTTCATGCTTTTTTTTTTTTTTTTTTTGAAAGAGGGTATTTTTACTGTTCCAAAAATCTAGTACTGTTCCAAAAATCGTCCATGTAGAGAAATACAAAGAGAATTTAATATTCAAAAGACCTTTGTAAGAAAACCTCTTTTTATTTTCTAAGAAGTTAGGAAGAGGTCCTCCTCACCATACCCACGTTGTGGTCCGACTCATAAATTTTAATTTTCAAATCAATAAACAAAAGTAACATTTAAATTTATTTATCATTGATTTATCTCGCACATCTGTAGATTTAATGTCCTATAAAACTACAATCACTGCGGATCAATAAAACTAGCCATTAGTTCTGGTTGGTGAAATCAACTATTCTAATTCGGAAATCATTAAATATTTACATATAAAATTGAAAAAATATAAATATTAATTAATAATGCAAATTATCTTCTCTATCTTCCTCAACAGATATCTGGACATTCAGCCACTTGTCATCGCAACTCAATAAACGAACGTTATGGTGGTGTAATCGATTCCAATATCAATTCAATGAAATACATTTTTTGCTTGTTAATAAGCATATTCTGCTGGTAAGTTGTGTACACCACTTGAATTCTGCTTTTTTTTTTGTTCAGCATTCATTAATAACACTTAAGATTATTCCATGGCCCAACAATAGCTTGAAAGCGAAACTAATCGATTTTAACAAGCCGGCGTTGTTTTTTGCCACTCGAACAAATGACATGCGAAAATTTCACATGGAATATTTTGTTTCCAGACCACTTTCACACAATGGGATTACGAAATATTCATTATTGTTGTTTCTTTTGTGAGGGGAGGACTGAGAGTATTTGTAAGAGAGTTAATGATGCTGATGAAGATGCAGATCAAAATTTTGGAATTTTTAGGATGATAGTTAGAAGACAAAGAATTGTATTAGAATAAAAATTATTAAATATTACGTTAAGAAAGAAAATTTAATAAGTTAAAAAACAGCTAAGTTCGGCCGGCTCGAACTTTTTATACCCTCCACCATTTATAAGAAACTTGAAAATTTTCAAAAAAAAAAAAAAAAAAAAAAAAAAAAACGTTGAAAAATAAATGAAAACCGTTGTCCTGCATAAGTAATTTATGTCATAGGCTGTAGTAACTGTTCCGCAATATTATATACGAAATTTAAAAAAAAAACGTTGAATTACGTTGCAAACATCTTCAAAATACCGAATATCGGGGGTACCGTTATATGGAATTATATTATGTAGTAAACCTATATAGACAGTTTTTTTCAGGGGGTAAAGTACTCACAAATAACTCCTTGTGTGGATTTTCAGACAATTCTATTGAAAAATGTGGCTAAAATTATCAAAATACCGAATATCGGAGATATATTATATGGGGGCTATACGATATCGTGAGCCGATATAGTCCATCTTCGAACTTGACCTGCCTGCAAACAAAAGCAAAGACGGACGGACGGGCGGACGGACAGGGCTAAATCGTCTTAGAATTTTACGCCGATCAAGAATATATGAAGTATATGTATTCCTGATCATTTTTTCGATGAGTTTCAAACGGAATGACGAACTTCATATACCCATACTATGCATGGTGGAGGGTATAAAAATGGAAAAGATGTTTCTTGAAAAAATATTCTTTAAAAAATCAAGGTTATTATCAGAAGATCCTTAAAAAAATATTCTTTAAAAAATCCAAGGCTTTTGATCAGAAAAAAAATATTCTTTAAAAAATCCACGTTTATTGGTCTGAAGGACCTTGAAAAAATATTCTTAAAAAAATTCAGGTTTATTGGTCTGATGGTCCTTGAAAAAAATATTCTTTAAAAAATCCACGTTTATTGGTCTGATGGTCCTTGAAAAAAATATTCTTTAAAATATCCACGTTTACTGGTCTGATGGTCCATGGAAAAAATATTCTCTAAAAAATCTACGTTTATTGTTGGGATGGTCCTTGGAAAAATATTCTTTAAAAAATCCACGTTTATTGGTCTGATGGTCCTTGAAAAAATATTCTTTAAAAAATCCACGTTTATTGGTCTGATGGTCCTTGAAAAATATTTTTTCAAAAATCCACGTTTTTTGGATAGATGGTTCTTAAAAAAATCATGAAAAATGTGTTTTTGTCAATAATCCCCACAAATTAAGGCCCAAAACGAGACCCCCGTTTCTTACAACCTGTTGCACCACTCTGTGCAAAAAATCCAAAAAACCTTAATTCAAATTCCTGCGCTATCAAGTCAACAGCGTCATTATCATTACGAATGTATTTTGAGGGGCGTGTGTATTTATGTGAATATCTCTCATTATTGTTGTTTTTATTGTTATTTTCACTCACCTGCAACATTAACTCACGCAATTTATCCAAATCATCACCTCGTGACCTTGTGGGCAAATAACGGCCTTCGCAAGGTTGTTGCTGAGCCATCAAAACCACAGCCAGCAAAAGGAAGCACCACAAGCCCAAACGAACTCCGGCATGGGAAGCCATAGCTGGGGAACTGGGTGATGTTGTTGTTGTTGCTGCTGCCGCTGATGACGATGATGACAGAGAAGAAGACAACCGTAAAGCTGATGGCGACAACTCTGTGGCCGACGACGATGAGGTGCTGGCGGTCAAAAGACTTTCGTTGCTGGCACGTTTGTTAAAATGCATTTTGTATGTTTCCGGTTTATAAAATTTACGGTTTTTTTACAATTGACTTTTTTTGTTGGTGTTGGGCAAAAAGTTTCACTTTTTTCCTCTGCTCAATCACAAGGTAGGTAGGAGGGAGAGGACTAGCTGCTGCGAAAACAAAATCAGATGAACCACAGGAGTTGTTAAAGGTCTTGATGTGTTTTATGCGCCGAGTCCAGCTGCTTCGACTTGTTGTCGTTGTATTTAGGTTGTTGTGTCGTGACCACCAAAAAACCAACAACAAGGCAACATGCAACAGATAACTGCAAGACACAAAAAAAAAAACAGATATCGAATGAAATTGGTTCGTAATCATTATTAAGTGCACATTACAGAAAAAAAAAACTAAAACAATAACAATAAGAGCAACGACAACAAAAAACACCTTATTAAAAAAAAATATTTGATTTCGTAATACAGCTCCCAAAATAACTTTAGTTGTTTTTCAAGAGTTTTATTACATTACTGGACCAGAAGCAACAACAGAAACATTCGAAGATGGAGATCTCAAGTGCAGAAGTAGGTTTCATGTTTGGCAATGAATACCGGCATCCGTTTAGGTAATACCTTCAAGACTCTTTTTTTAAGTAGGTTCCAAATATTTTTGTGACATAATTGAATATTTTCTACTTATGTACATATCTCATAGGGAAGGTGCACGAAGGGATAATGGTTTGAAACTAGATGCTGTTGCAAGAAGATGGGGGAAAAATTCCAAATTCGAGATTCTTTAAAAAAAATACCTTTAAAAAAAGAAATATACTAGAATATCCTTCTGATCTTCTAAAGGAGAAGACATTATGGTTTTCCATGGAACAAGACGTTCTGGCCTTCAATAGAAAAAATTGAATTGAAAAAATTTTATTGGAGTACTTTTTTGGTTCTACTGTAAGAAGACCTTTCGGTCTTCTTTTTCTCGTGTTCCCTAGAAACAACTTTTAGTACTCTATAGGACCATTTTTCGGAATACTACAAGAACACTTTTTGGTCTTCTATGCGAATACCTTATGTTCTCCTTTATGAAAATGTTCTGGTCTTCTAAACGAAGACTCCTGTTCTTCTATAAGAAGTTCTTTGGGTCCTTTATGGGAAGACTTCTATGGGAAGAGCTTTCGGTCTTCTATAGGAAAATCTTTGGGTCTTTTATAGGAGGGCCTTTCGGTCGGTATTCTATAGGAAGACCTTTAAGTCGGTAGTCTATAGGAAGACCATTCAGTATTCTATTGCAAAGGAAGACAATTCGGTCTTCTATAAGAAGAACTTCTGGTCTTCTATAGGTCTTGTATAGGAATAACTTATTGTCTTCTATAGGAATAACTTCTTGTCTTCTACAGGAAGACCTTCTGGTCCTCTTGGTCTTCTATAGGAAGATCTTCTGGTCTTCTATAAGAAGATCTTCTTCTTTCTTCTGTGGTAAGGGCTTTTAGTCTTCTATGAAATGAGCTCTTCCATGAGAAGGCCTCCAGCTCCTCTAGGAGAAGACTTCCAGCCCTCTAGGAGAAGACCTCCAGCTGCTCTAGGAGAAGACTTCCAGCCCCTCTAGTAGAAGACTTCCAGCATCTTTAGGAAAACACCTCCTGCTCTTCTATGAGAAAACATTAAGGTCTTCCGTTAGAAGACTTCCAGCTCTTCTGTGAGAAGACCTCCGGCTCTTCTATGAGAAGACCTCCGGCTCTTCTATGAGAAGACCTCCAGCTCTACTATGAGAAGAACTCCAGCTCTTCTATGAGAAGACCTCCCGCTCTTCTATGAGAAGACCTCGAGCTCTTCTATGAGAAGACCTCGAGCTCTTCGGTGAGAAGACCTTCAGCTCTTCGTGAGAAGACCTCCAGCTCTTCGGTGAGCAGACCTCCAGCTCTTCGGTGAGAAGACCTCCAGCTCTTCGGTGAGAAGACCTCCAGCTCTTCGGTGAGAAGACCTCCAGCTCTTCTAGGAGAAGACCTCCAGCTCTTCTAGGAGAAGACCTCCAGCTCTTCTAGGAGAAGACCTCCAGCTCTTCTAGGAGAAGACCTCCAGCTCTTCTAGGAGAAGACCTGCAGCTCTTCTATGAGAAGAGACCTCCAGCTCTTCTATGAGAAGAGACCTCCAGCTCTTCTATGAGAAGAGACCTTCAGCTCTTCTATGTGAAGACCTCCAGCTCTTCTATGTGAAGACCTCCAGCTCTTATGTGGGGAGACCTCCAGCTCTCCAAGGAGACGAAGGAGAAGATATTTCGCTCTACTATGAGAAGGAGACTGCTTAAAGAACTTCTGGACTCCTACGAAACGACCTTTTGGCCTCTCTCTTAACTAAGAAAAAGTCTGGCTTTCTTAGGAAGAAGACACTTTAGTCTTTAATTCGAAAATTTTCGGATTTTCTATGAGAAGAACTTTTGGTCTTCTTTGGAAGAATACCTTCTGATCTTCATTAAGACGAAACCCTGTTGGTCTTCTATCGGAGAAGACCTTCTTCTCTTCTATTGGAGAAGATCTTCAGGTCTTCTATAAGAACCTTTCTGTTCTCATAAGAAAACCTTCTGTTTTTCTTTGAGGAGACCTTCTGATTCATTTTGAGAATACATTCTGGTTTTCTATAAGAAGATCCTTGGCCTTCTCTGGGAGAAGACCTGCTGGTCTCCTATACGAAGACAGCCATCGGTGTTCAATGATAATACCATATTCTGTGAGGGGATCTTCTGCCAGAGGACATTCTAGTCTATTCTGAAGAGAACACTTTATCATGTATTCGTATATTTTGTGTTAGGAAACGATTGTTTCTTCTCTGAGGAAATGGCTTTGTCCTTTATTGAATAGCTATTCCATAAAAAAAATCAAAATATAAATCCCCTGGTATCAAAGATTTACTTCGTACCACTATAAGCCTTCCATATTTTTGAAATGCTAAACTTTAAACTTTTTAGATCTAAGGCATTGAAAACGGTTATCTGGACAGACGGACATCGCTAAATCGACATAGAATTTTCTTGTTTATCAAAAATATATGTATATACTTTGTGGTGTCTTAAATATATATTTCGAGGTGTTACAAACGGAATGACAAACTTAATACACCCTCCATACAATAGTGGGGGGTATAAAAACAAAAAATAGTTTTTATTTAAAAAAATATTGTTTTGCATCGGCCGGGAATCGAACCCGGGCCGCCCGCGTGGCAGGCGAGCATTCTACCACTGAACCACCGATGCGTGATGAAATTTTGTGTTATGGTAGCTTGCACGAAATTTTTTTGAAATCGTCACTCAATACTATGTTTTTAAAATAGAAGAATCAATCAAAAATTCAAAACAATCTACATCAGGGATGCTCAAAACAAAAAATGAGTGTGTATTGGTGCGAGAGAGTGAATGTCCACTCAAAGAAATTTCATGAGTGGATTCTAGATTCTACATCTACTTTCCACTATTATTTTAAATTGCAATCAAAAATTCAAATTAAGCCCATTCATTTTTGGGCACTTTCGGTAATTCCTTTTTTTATTTTGATATTTTCTAAATTTTAAGAATTTTATTTCAAATTTAATAAACTGTCTCAATCCCTTTTGAAACAATGTATTTAATGTGTCAATAAAAATTTAATGACAACAAATTGCCTTCCTTCATTGCCCCCACACCACGCATTTGCAATGATCCTGCAAATATGATGCTCTCATAAAATTGGGGACAAGTACTTATTTTTTTAATGTCACTCCAAATGATTTATCGCTGGGTGGGGAATAGCGGCAATAACAACTCCCACAAATGCGGAGGCCATGATGACAAGTGGAAGAATTGCAACACACTTGCTTTGGTCTTTAACGATAAGAAAGGAGTATCTAAATCATGTAAGTGGCAAATGGGACGTGGGTGGCAGTGTGTGCCAATAAAAAATATGCTAGTGGGGTTAAGGTACAATGAATCATATTTTCTTCTTTTTCTAGCTAGAAAAAGGGAAGGGGAATAATTTTCATTTTTTACCATAAAGGCTATATATATAAAAAAAAGAAAAATATTAAATAAAATCGAACATTTGTAGTCTCGGATTGCAAAAACTGAAATGTATGTAGTACTGTGTATAACACACGTTTCAAAAATGTACTTCATTTTCCAAAAGTGTGGAACTAAGGAACTATGCGGTTAATGCATAGAAGGCCTTCCATAGGTTAAGATATCCCGGTCTTCTATAGAGAAGTCCTTTCGGTCTTCTATAAAAGAAGACATTCCGGTCTTCTGTAGAGAATAAGACATTTTGATCTTCTATAGGTAAGAAATAAACAACTTATTGTATACCAAAATCCTATGGTCTTCTATGTGAAAGCTCTCTGTGAGAAAAAAAACCTTCTGGTCGAAAACACTACTCTTGCCACAAAATCAAATTTTCCATATTGTCATATAAATTGTTTCTCAAACCATGATGGTCTTCTTCAGGTACCGAAAGAGTGGGTGTATATTGTCGACAGGTTTTAATTACATTCTTCACTTTATATGCGATATGTTGTGTATACCTTTCGTGAGGGTACGAAAAAGAATACACAATTTAATACTTTCAATATAGAAAAGAGATCATGGTTTTCAGAAACATGGTGCTGTGTCCTGTTGGAATGTTCAAGGTCTGCGGCCAAAATGTTTGCGTGTCCAAGGCTTTAATACACTCTCCACAATATTTTCGCTATAATATTCGATATTTATTGTGATTAATACGAGCGGACAGCGATCATCGGCTGTTATGGCGGACCACCCCATCACTATGGCCGGCGCTTGAGTTCTAGTAGCCAACCGAAGGTGCAAATTTTCAGCTGACCTCTTTGGCAAGTAAACACGATCATTTTGTTTGTTTACAAACTGCTGGACAACGGATGTTTTCTCATCAGAGAAACTAAAATTCGGCTGTTCACCACTTTCGGCCAAAAGAAACAACTCTTTAGCACTTTTGACTTTATTTTGAGGTATAAGTTCTTCCATTTTTTGGAATTGCAATGGCATTACCCCGAGCTAATTTTTCAATATTTGCCGAAGGGAATATCGTATATCCCCCATATAACGGTACATCCAGATTCGATATCTTGATGATTTTAACCACATGTTTTTAATGGAATTTTCTTAAATCCACACAAGAAGTTCGTTCTGAGTACTTTACTCCCTGGAAGAGAATTCCCATTAAAAACGGTACCTCCCTATATTCGGTATTTTGATGATAGTAGCTAAATTTTTCAAGGGAATTGTCAGATTACCCACACCAGGAGTTGTTTCTGAGTACCTCATCCCCTAGAAGAGAATTGTCTATTAGTTAACGATATAACGGTACTCCCATAATGCGGTACCCTCAGATATTCGGTATTTTGATGATTTTAGCGACATTTTTGTTCGGAATTGCTTGAAATTTCGTATTTAAAGTTTGAAGCTCGTAACGACTGCTACAACCTTGCCAGAAAATTGTCTATGCCGGTCCACGTCTTCGTATGGCCTACACATAACGGTACCTCCCTTTATCCGGAATTTAATGATATTAGCAACATATTTCAGAGGAATTGTTTCAAATTTCGTATTAGAAGTTCGGAGTCGATACTACAGGCTATGACCAATAATTTAATTATGCAGCTCTACGTCTTCGTATATCCCTCATATAATGGTTTTCATTTAAGTGGTATTTTTCAACGGATTTCTTGAAATTATTCAAGATCCTTAAAAATGGTGGAGGGTATTAAAAGTTCGGTCCGCTCGAACTTAGCTGCTCTTTTACTTGGTAAAGTTTGCAATAGATTCCAACGTCTGTAGCAGATAATTATCTATGGTGGTACACACTTTTCTATAGGTCGCATATAGCCAAACCTCCCGATATTTGGTTCTGATGACATTTCTCAACAGATTTTTGTTTTGAATTTGGTATTTGTAAGGGGGGCAAAATCCTGTGAAGGTCCACGTTTTCTTATGTATCGATACCTTCGAATATTCGGTATTTTGGCGATGTTAGCCAGATATTTTTTGGAGTTATTTAAAATTCTCTATTTGTAGTTGGTATTTGGTTCTACATCTGTTGGTAGAACACAGTCTATATAGGTCGACGTTTTTCTATTGCACCCATATAATAGTACTTCTCGGTTTTTTTTAATATTTTAGCAACATTTTTTACAGAATTGTTTAAATTTTATAATTCAAAACAGGCAATGGATACCAACACCTGTAGTAAAAAATTGGCTATGCAAGTCCACCTTTTGGAATAATCCTCATGTAACCTTACCGCCCCTAAATGATATTTTTTGAAGACTTTAACACCCACCGATTTCACTGTCTTTTGTAGTTTAAAATGAAATTAATTCGAATATCGACTAACGATACATTTATTTTTAAAGGATTTTTTTACCCCATGGTGAAGGGTATTATAGGTTCGCCACGGTCGAACATAACGCTTTTTAACTTGCTTCAATATTATTCCACTAAAAAAAAAATAAAAAAAAAATCTAGTCTCGCTAAACTCTAAAAACCCAAAATATATAATGAGTCAGACCCCCTGAAGTCTGCTGTAATTCCAATTAAGGCGATATCGCAATTAAAAATATTAAGTTTTTTGGAGATAACTTCATTTTACTGCCGACTTCTTCACAAAATTTTTTTTTTTTTGAAAAAAAATTCATTGTTTCGAATTGACTGAATAACTCTAATTTTTTTTAATTTTGAGTTCGTACACTGTGTGGATTTCTTATAAAAATAAATTTATATTGTCTAACTCAAATTTCGCAAAAGTAATTTTATTCCTTTCATTCGTATTGACATTGAGTCCTTTTTATCATAACTTGAACTATGAACACATCACTACACACAGAGTGTGACTCACAAAAAGTTCCATAACTTGAACAAATTATTAATCACTATCTTCTCTCAACTTCAATCTGTTATTCTATTCTCCAAACTTTTTTCATTGTTAAATCATCCACATAAGTTTTTTTTTTTTCATTTTTGATTTGATAACTTTCAAAACTTTAGTAACTTCTGAGTAATCCATGGAGTTTTCGCAATGGTGTCCTTGATTTCTGTTAATATTATTAACATTTCATTTTTATAACATCTTCTTTAAAACGATTTTTCCATGTCTCTTTCATAACTTTAGCGACACTTACATCACAACTTATGGATATATTTTCTCCGTGGCTTCGTTTTCTTTTTTTTCAAAAATATGCAAATTGTTTTCAAACTTTGGCAAAAAAGACAGTTGAGATAACTCGCGCCGTTTACAATTTATTTTTTTTTTTTTTTAATATTTTTTGCTTGCCAGTACTTATCGAGGATAAGACAGTTTAGTTTTTGACTCAATATCCTTTGGTAACAATGGTATTTATAGCCGAAAAATCTCTGGTTGCCAGCAAATTCTGAGGAGACCAAAAGAACAATAACAGCAGCAGCACCACCAACAACAAGAGCAAAGACAGTAACACAGTGGGCAAAAAAAAACAAAAAAACGCAGCAGCCACAAGAACAATAAAGCAGCCAAAGCAGCAGAAGAAGAGACATGGCAAAACCAACGAACCAACATTTCACCACATTTACACACATACACTCATACACACACACACACGCTTGGCCATAGTATAAAACACTTTCTCTTGTAATAGTATCCTTTGCTATTTTTTTCATTTTTGTTTTTGTTTTGTAGTCCAACAACACAAATGACAAAAACAAATTGCCTGTAAGTGAGCGAGCGAGTGTGTGTGTGTGCCTGTGTGAGTAAATCGCACAATCGCACTCCTTGCTTCCTGCATGAGCTCCTCTGCTCACCAAGCAACCTACCTCCCTCTCTCCCACCACACAGACAACTGTTGTCATCATCGGGCTAATATACTGTAGTTCATAGAAAGGATAATTCTGCACAAAAAGGACACTAAGAATAATAGTACACTATTTGTTGTCCTCTGTATATTCTATACAATGGCCATCCAGTCAGCCAGCCAACTAACCAGCCATTCACTGCCACAACTATCCCCAACCGCCTGGCCCAGCAAAATACCCTGCTCCCGCCACAAGGAAGGAGCCTACCACAATCTTTGCTTACACATTGTGGGGGACGAAAGGACACAAGAAATGATGACGACAACACAACACAGCAGCAGCATCATCATCACCACCATTGTCAGGATACAAGAGCACCATGGAGGCGTTAGTTACCACTGTGAGTCAATAAAAATGAATGTGCGTTGGTATATATGAGTGTTGATAAGGACTCACTCACACACACACATATTCGCACACATAAAAACACTTTGATAAATTTATTAAATATTATCTTTCGAATGACAGAACTGAGGATTATGCGCCTGCGCTCCCATTGCGCCCATTCAAAGTGGCCGCCACAATTCTGTTGTTGTTGTTTTTTGTTGTTATTGCTTCGACGGCAGGCACTGCAAATCCATTTCAATACTCATGGTTGTAGTATTTAATTTGGAATTACAGCGATTGCAATGTGCGTTTTGGCCGACTCTTGGTTTTTATTTGCCCTCTCCCCACCGTTTCTTAACGGCCAATTTCATAGTTTTTGTGCCTGAGAGGTCACCGAACACTATCCCCCCGGCCCCCACAAAGAAATTGAAATAAATGTTTATTTTAGAATGTCATGAGGGGAGATTTGTGGGGGTGTGGCTGGCGTAAGTCCAAACATAATCATTATTCATAGCAGCTGTTTTTCATCACTTTCATATTCGGTTCCACCAGCCATCGTCACGAATGCACTTGCCATTCAGAGCATCAGTACGCACAAATTGCAAATAGATTTTCATTTAGTTTCTTGCAGCAGCGATGATGCTGAGCAACAATCTCGTACACAATATGTGACAATTTTAGCAAATTGCGTAGTACAGAGACTTTGGGGGGAGGGCGGATTTGAGGGTTGGGATCGCCTAAACTTTTATTTTCAAAAATTCATAATCACGCTTCTGAAGGACTTCATCTGCTATTTTCTGGAAAAGTATACGTCCAATAGCAAATATCCGCCACTTCGTATGTGGAAAAAGGAACTTATATTAAATAAAGTTGTGTGAGACTTTTTTGTCCAAAATAAAGTATTAAACAAGTAAAAAAGCTGTAAGTTCGGCCGGGCCGAAATTTGAATACCCTCCACCATTTGGAACGAATTTGGCAATTTTCAAAAAAAATAAAATCCGTTTAAATCTTAAAAATACGGAATGTAGCCGTTATATTAGAGTCCTTGAAAAAATATTCTTTAGAAAATCCACGTTTATAGATCAGAAGGTCCTTGAAAAAATATTCATTAGAAAATCCACGTTTATAGATCAGAAGGTCCTTGAAAAAATATTCATTAGAAAATCCACGTTTATAGATCAGAAGGTCCTTGAAAAAATATTCATTAGAAAATCCACGTTTATAGATCAGAAGGTCCTTGAAAAAATATTCATTAGAAAATCCACGTTTATAGATCAGAAGGTCCTTGAAAAAATATTCATTAGAAAATCCACGTTTATAGATCAGAAGGTCCTTGAAAAAATATTCATTAGAAAATCCACGTTTATAGATCAGAAGGTCCTTGAAAAAATATTCATTAGAAAATCCACGTTTATAGATCAGAAGGTCCTTGAAAAAATATTCATTAGAAAATCCACGTTTATAGATCAGAAGGTCCTTGAAAAAATATTCATTAGAAAATCCACGTTTATAGATCAGAAGGTCCTTGAAAAAATATTCATTAGAAAATCCACGTTTATTTATCAGAAGGACCTTGAAATAATATTCTTTAGAAAATCCACGTTTATTGTTCTGAAGGAGCTTGACAAAATATTCCTTAAAAAATCCACGTTTATTGTTCTAAAGGTGCTTGAAAAAATATTCTTTAAAAAAATCCACGTTTATTGGTGGATAGGCCCTTGAAAAAATATTCTTTAAAAAGTCCACGTTTATTGATCAGAAGTCCCTTGAAAAAATATTCTTTAAAAAATCAAAGATTGTTGCTCCGAAGGTCCTTAAAAATATTCTTTAAAAAGTCCACGTTTATTGGTCTGATGGTCCTTAAAAAATATTATTAAAAAATAACCGTTTCTTGATCGGAAAGTCTTTGACAATATTTTCTTTAAAAAATCAACGTTTCTTGATCAGGAGGTCCTTGAAAAAATATTCTTTTAAAAATCCACGTTTATTGGTTTGATGGTCCTTGGAAAAAATATTCTTTAAAAATCCACGGTTATTGGTTTGATGGTCCTTGGAAAAAATATTCTTTAAAAAATCCACGGTTATTGGTCCGATGGTCCTTGAAAAAATATTCTTAAAAAAAACCACGTAGCCAAAATCATCAAAATACCGAATATCAGAAGTACCGTTATATGGGGGCTATACGAAGACGTGGACCTACATGGCTCATTTTCTGTCCTAGGATTAGTATCCATTACGAACATTAAATACCAAAATTGAAACAATTCCGGTGAATAATGTCGCTAAAATCATCAAAATACCGAATATCGGGGTGTACCGTTATATGTGGGCTATACGAAGAAGTGGACCTACACAGTCCATTTTCTGTTTTATGCTGTAGTGTATATTACGAACTTCAAATACCTAATTTGAAACATTTCCGGTGAACAATGTCGCTTAAATCACCAAAATACCGAAAAATGGAGGGCTATACCAAAACGTGGACCTACATGACCAATTTTCAATACCAAAAGTTCTGCAGACATAATACATATTTGAGTAAAATTTTATCAACGTACTGCATTTCGTTCAAAAGCTAGAGTGATTTCCACAGACAAACAGACGGACATCGCTAAATCGACATCGAATTTTATGCTGATAAAATGTATGTTTCGAGCTGTTACAAACGGAATGACAAACTTAATATACCCTCCATACTCTGGCGAAGGGTATAAAAACATAAAAATCCACACAATTAAAAGTTGAACTTTGACCTTTAATTCGTTAAGATCGGCTGGGCAATTTTTTCTAATAATTGCAAGATGGAAGACCTTACAGGTAACTTTCCAAAAAGTATTAACTATTATTAAAATACATATATTTTTTTCTTTCAAAGGTACAGAATTATTGTACCTTAAATCTCTGTGTAGAGAGCAGAGCCTATTAGATTTAATAGACACAATAATGTCAGAGTGATCTGAACTCTTAAAATGGATATGTAAATTTAGTTGAGGCAATTTGCCCTCATCCTGGTAAATTCTTTTACCTCTCAAAACATAGAATACTATCGATTGCCTCCGTCGGCATTGGATTTTTAACTGGATGATCTATAATTTTATTTTTGTGGTATAGGTGATTAACAAAATTTAATAAAAATTCCTAAAAGGGAAAAAAAAACATTTTAGTCGCCTTTTAGTCCTGTCCAATTCGCCCCTGTTTTATTTCTATTTGTCCAATAAAAATATTTAATGTTGCTTTGTTGATCTTAACGTTTTTTTCTGTTTATTTTGTGAACCACAATTCTCTTTTATTTTCTTTGTGTTTTTTTCTACTCTGTCCAAAATCTGAATGACTGGCCGGATGAATGGATGGATGGATACATATGACCAATATGCGTGTTCAAATAGCCAACATTCTTCCGCCAAAGCGTACAAGTGGCGACAACCACTTGTATAATAACATTTATGTCCCTTGTTTGTTTGTTTATTTATTTTACTGGCCCGCCCGCCTACCCGGCCTCTGCAACCGCCAGCATTTGGTGGGGGCTACAAATGTCAAGATTCATTTTGAATTATGGCCAAATATTGTTGGTTGGGTCAAATGCAAACTAAAGGAATGTTTTTTCGCATAAAAATAACCGAAGAGGAAAAACAAATTGAATTTGCGATGGAGGGGGAGAGAGGCATTTTTTTGCGATGGGACTATGGAAATGGAGAGAGATGGACATGAAAGTATTTAAAATGCAAATACAAAAAGTTAATACAAATTGAGGCAATTTTTATCGACAAAAGGATTTTTTGAAATATATGTTTAAGTCTATATAAACCAATTGGAAATCAAAAATATATATTCCTCCTTTTGATGCTGACTTTGTAGTATATTGTTCTCATTGTATTTGACTTAAAAAAAAAATAGACACTGTTTCCGCCCGGGATTGAACCGGGGGCCTTCCGCGTGTTAGGCGGATGTGATAACCACTACACCACGGAAACGTATGCCCAAATGTTGTCACTCAAAATACCCAAAACAATTGGTTGAAGTTAATAGACATAGAAGCTTTTGTGTTTTGGGTCTCGTTATTGATCTGATAGCCCATGGAAAAATATTTTTTAAAAAATCCACGTTTATTGGTGGGAGGTCCTTGGAAAAATATTCTTTAAAAAATCCACGTTTTTGGT